TTTTCCTGGATCTCTCCTGCTTTTCCTGGATCATTCCTGATTTTCCTGGATCTCTCCTGCTGTTCCTGGATCGCTCATTCCCGCCCATTCGGGTGATGTTTGGGTTCCTCCATGGAAATGCGGCGCCGTTGCCATGGGATGGGCGATGCTCCGGGGTTTCTGTGCTCCCTCTCCCTTTCCTGCTCCCATCCTGTAACACTTAATCCTCCCTCTCTGCCCGTCATTCCCTGGAAAGCCACGGGAGGTGAAACCGTCCCTGCTGCTCCCTTCTCCTGAGCCTTTAATCCCTGGATCCCATTCCTGACCTCGAGCTGGGAGTCATCCCAAATATTCATTCCCATTCCCTCAGCCTGGCGTGAACCTGCTGTTCTTTTTCCAGCAGGAAAAGCAGCGGCCCTCGGGAAAAGCTGGGAATGAACAATCCTGGCCTGTGGGGATGGGAGATAACAGAGGAATTCCTGTCGGGATTTGAGCCTGGATGCAAACACAGCCCAGCCCTGGAAGTGCAGAGACCTGGGAATTGTCAGGGCAGAGTTTTCCCTTCACCTTCCATGGATCACCTCTGCCGGCTTTATAATTTATACCCAAATTTATAGTGTAAATGGTATCATGAATAAAATTATAGATTTTATAATCCTGGTGCATCCCTCTGGGATGGGAGATCCAGGATTGCAGCTCCCACTGCTCCAGGGGATCCTTATTTTATATTCCAGAGGCAGATTTGGGGTTTTTCCTCCCCCTGCTCCAGAGGTGAATCCACGGTTTTCTCTTGGGAATCTGGTGGAAAAAATAAAGGATAAAAACACCTCCAAGGCCTCAAGGAATTTATGCTCTCCTGGCTTTTCCCAGCAAGACAAAGAACTATGGAATGGTTTGGAGTGGGAGGGACTTAAAGCTCATCCCATTCCAACCCCTGCCATGAGCAGGAGCGATTTCCACTATCCCAGGGTGCTCCAAACTCTGGCCTTGGACACTTCCAGGGATGGGGCAGCAATCCTGGACAGGATTCCTGGATGAACAACAGAGCCGGGCAGAACAAATTCCGTGCACAATTCCTGATTCCAAAATTCAGGGAATACAAATTCCGTGCACAATTCCTGATTCCAGAACCAGGGAGAACAAATTCCTTGCACAATTCCAGAACCAGGGAACACAAATTCCTTGCACAATTCCTGATTCCAAGAACCAGGGAACACAAATTCCGTGCACAATTCCTGATTCCAAGAACCAGGGAGAACAAATTCCGTGCACAATTCCTGATTCCAAGAATCAGGGAACACAAATTCCGTGCGCAATTCCTGATTCCAAAATTCAGGGAATACAAATTCCGTGTGCAATTCCTGATTCCAAGAACAAGGGAACACAAATTCCGTGCACAATTCCTGATTCCAAGAACCAGGGAATACAAATTCCTTGCACAATCCCTGATTCCAAAATTCAGGGAATACAAATTCCGTGCACAATTCCTGATTCCAAGAACCAGGGAACACAAATTCCGTGCACAATTCCTGCCTCACCAGAGGAGAAGCGCTGGCTCCGGGAGCCGTGGTGACAGCAGCTCCCCTGGGCAGGGTAATTAATTAATTATGCATTCCCAGAATTAATGAGAGCATCCTGTTTGCAACCCTGTCCCATTTTTTTCCACAGATTCCAGCCCCATATGCCGGGTGCCAGACAGGGCTGACAGCCCTGCATCCCACACTTGGAATTATTTCATTTCCCAACGTGTCTGTGCCTGGCTCCTGACAGGAACCAGAGGCATTTCCATGGAATTAATTCATGGCACTCCGTGGTGTTTGGATTTTTCCAGCACTTTTTCAGGGAGGGAAAAGCGGATCCGTGGATTTCTGAGCTGATAAAAACCCGGAGCTGAGCTGGGCCACACAGACAGAGGTAGGAAATGGGAATGGAGGGATCTGCATCCCTGGAATCACTGGATCACCGAGGTGGGAAAGCATCACTGAACCCATCCCTGTCCAGGTCTCTTTTCCATCCTGGAAAAATTCAGGATTCTGCTTTAAAAGGGATGAAAACACAGAAAAAAAAGGGAAAAAAAATGATCTGGTGGAAGAATTGTGTTGGATTCTTCCAAAGGGAGACAATTCCAATGTGACTCCCTGGGAATTCACAGGGTTTTGGATCAGCAAAACCCCAAATCCAGTGGCAATTCCTCAGTTTCCTGCACGTGGAATTTCATTCCTGAAATGGCCTCGGGGTGGCTGAGGTTGCAGCATTCCAGCCTGGAGCCAGCAGACAGGGATTTGTTTCCAGAACGATCTGGAGAGGAAGCAATTCCTTGGAGGGTTGATTTTAATGTGATTTTCCCTGGAAATAGCATTAGGCTGTCATTCCCAATGTCTGGCAGGAATTGTTGGGTGCCCAAACCTCTGCAGCAGCTTTTGGCTGGAATACAAATGCAGCTGGGCAGGAAACATCCACAGGTTTGGGAATAGGGAAGCAAATCCCTCCTCATCCCAGGGATTCAGCTCATCCTCCCTGTTTGCCCTTTCCTGAGGGGATCAACCTCATCCCACATCTCTGCTGGGGCCAAATCCAGCCCTGCAAGGACACAAATCCAGAGTTTCCCCCTGGATTTCTGCCCCATCAAAATCCCGGGGATTTTTACTGGAAAACCTGGGAAAGAGCAGGAAATATTCCAAAATTAAGCAAGGAAAGGTTGCTGAGGGCAGAGAGCACCAGATGGGTTTGGCCTTGCCTGGATCTTGCCAGGAAAAATAAAATCTGGAAAATCAGGAGGAGAACGAGGAATCCTGAGGATTTTCAGGAACAGAGCATGGAAAAAGAATAGGGAACCTCCCAGAGAAATCCCACCTCTCATCCTGGGAAGAATGGAGATTCCCAACCTCTCCTATCTTTGGGAATCACCATTCCCAGCCTGTCCAGGATTTGGGAATCACCATTCCCAGCCTCTCCAGGATTTGGGAATCACCATTCCCAGCCTATCCAGAGTTTAGGAATTGCCATTCCCAGTTTGTCCAGTATTTGGGAATCACCATTCCCAGCTTGTTCTGGGTTTGGGAATCACCATTCCCAGCCTGTCCAGTATTTGGGAATTGATATTCCCAGCTCATCCAGGATTTGGGAATCACCATTCCCAACCTGTCCAGGATTTGGGAATCACCATTCCCAGACTGTCCTGCATTTGGGAATCACCATTCCCAGTCTGTTCAGGATTTGAGAATCACCATTCCCAGCCTCTCTAGTATTTGGGAATTGCCATTCCCAGTCTGTCCATGATTTGGGAATCACCATTCCCAATCTGTTCAGGATTTGGGAATTGCCATTCCCAGCCTGTCCAGAGTTTGGGAATCACCATTCCCAGCCTCTCCAGGATTTGGGAATCGCCATTCCCAGCCTGTCCAGAGTTTGGGAATCACCACTCCCAGCCTGTCCAGGATTTGGGAATCACCATTCCCAGCTTGTCCAGAGTTTGGGAATCACCACTCCCAGCCTGCAGGGAGGGTGTGGAAGGCCAAAGTCTCCATCCAAGCTTTTAGCCGGGATTGCTCCCTGGCTTGGAAGCGCTCTCTGTTTGTTTTCCCACTTTCCCCTCCCATCTCCTGCATTTTCTCCCAATCCTTGGGAGCGGATAGATCCTGGCCAGACTCATTAAATCCCATTCCACTCATCCAGAGGCAATCCATTAGCCTGATTTGTTGCCTGGTTTCCTTATCGGCCTCGATGTTATCTCGCTGTTCCTGTTGTAAATCCAAAGTTTCCTCCTGGAGAGGAAGGGAAGAGTTTGCCCAAGGCACCAGGGCCTGTTGTTATTCCTGAGAAAAATCCATCCAGAGGGATGAAACCACACCCAAACAGGACCTTTATCCCCAAAATAGGCTGGGAGGAGGTGGGAATTATGGAAAAACTTGTGGAAAAATGAGAAACAACCCCAGGTACTGAAAGCAAAATCTTTATTGCAGCTACTTTTCCCAAAGCTGGGGGAGGTGAGATCCATGGAAGTGTTTTCCTGGCAAGAATTTCCCTGGATTCTTTGTACAAAAGGTTTGGGAAGCAAAAGAGAGACTGGGAGAAAGGAAAATAAGTATTGAGATAAAATGTTGGGGTTTTGCTGCATGCACCATGGTTCTATCCATATTTTTTTTGGAAAAAACCCCAAATCCCTAAAAACCACTGCTTGAAGAAAAGCTCCTTTTTCTTTCCAGTTTTTCCTCCATTTCCCAGAAACGATGGAGCTCCAAGATGGTAATTTTTGGGGGGGGAAAAAACCTAAATCCCTAAAAAGAAAAAACTCTTCCTTTTTCTTTCCAGTTTTTCCTTCATTTTCCAGAAACTAGGGAGCTCCAAGATGGAGCTGGGATTTCTGGGTAAAAAAAAAACAACCTAAGTCCCTAAAATACAAAAAAAACCCCCAAAAGCCAAACCAAACCAAACAAATCAACAAACAAAAACAAAAAAAAAACCTCCACCATTTTCTTTCCAGTTTTTCCTCCATTTCCCAGAAATGCTGGTGCTCCAATATGGGAATGTCCAGACAGGAGCACAGCCTGAAATCCCAAATTGGCAAATCCCAAATTCCCAGTATTTTATTCTGCTGGGAGCACATTCCCAGCCAGGCTGGATGTTCTTGTGAGAAATTTTTCTCTGGAGTTTGTGGTTGTACCAAGCTCTTTTTCCCTGGAAAAGCTTTCCCAAATCCATGTGCTGTTATTTCTCTAATTCCACCAATCTGCTGGAATCATGAAATGTGAAACAGAACAGAAACAAACCGGAATTTGGGATTAATTCCTGTGCAAAATCTTCATTTTAACACCAAATTTCCAACCTGGTGCTGCTGGGGGCGGGGTGGGGGGGCTCTACTTAGCCAAGATTTTTGCAGGAATAACGAAATTCCTTAATTAGCACCTGGATAACCACTCTGGTCCTTAAGGATAATTATTCAATCATAATTATATCCTAATTATTATAATTCCTTCTCTAAAGCGCAGCAAAAGAGGGAAATTTTGCTGCCAACTTGGTAAATTTTTGGGGATGTTCTTGAGGGGCTACACAGGGAGCTGGAAATCTTCTGGAATTTTTGTGCAGGTGGAACAGTTCCCTCCATCCACACAGGGGTGGGAAACCACCCTTCAAATGGGACAGGAGATGCAGAGCAAAGTGGAATTTCTGCTGTCAACTTGGCAAACTCTTCAGGGATGTTCCTGAGGGTCTTCACAGGGAGTTGGGAACCTTCTGGAATTTTTGTGCAGGTGGAACAGTCACCTTTGCCCACACAGGGGTGGAAAATCACCCTTCCAAGGGCTCCAAATATTCCAAATGGAATGGGAGACGCAGGGAAGGAAGGGAAATTTTTGCTGTTAATTTGACAACTCTTCAGGGATGTTCCTGAGGGGCTACACAGAGAGTTGGGAAACTTCTGGAATTCTTGTGCAGCTGGAACAGTCCCCTCCATCCATAAATGAGTGGGAAAAAAAACCCCCACCCTTCCAAGGACTACAGATATTCCAGATGGAATGGGAGACGCAGAGAAAGGCGGGAAATTTTTGCTGTCAATCGGGAAAACCCCAGGGATGTCCCTGAGGGGCCACAAAGGGAGCTGGGAAGCTTCTGGAATTCTTGCTCAGCTTGGATCCGCGCAGATGTGGAAAAAAACCAAAAAACCCAACTCTTCCAGGGGCTGCAACCATTCCAGATGGAATCAGAGGTGCACTCCTAGAGGGAAGACCCTGCTGGGTGCCTCTGGAGCTGAGCAGCTCCTACTCCAGGGCGGGTTTGACCAGGTGCCCGTTGAAGATGATGTAAACATCCGACTCCTCGCCGTAGATGGCGTTTTCCCTCTCCCTCTTGAACATCCTGATCCAAACCTCATCCCCTTCCTGCAGATCCAGCATCAGGCTCTGGCTCTGCATGATGCTCCTGTCGCTGGGCTGGGCGTAGAGGACGGCCACGGCCTCCTCGTTCCTCATCAGGTGCACGTAGGTCTCCTTGAAATTCCAGGTGTGCACGTTGAGGCTGAAGTAATAAACGCCCGGCACGTAGCAGAAGAACTTTCCGGAGAACATGTTGAAGTGCTGGTAGAGGTTGACGAACTCGGTGTCGAAGGTGACGTGCTGGAAGTAGTGGGAGCTGTGCTGGGGCTTGCGGCGGCCCACGGAGAAGGCGGCGAATTGCTGCTTGCACGAGTGGCCCTGAGGCCCGGGCTGGCCCTTCTGGCCCTTGTGGCCGCTGGGGCCCCGAGTCCCGCGCTCTCCCGCCTTGCCCACGGCTCCCGGGAGGCCCCGCTCGCCCATCTCGCCCTTCTCGCCTGTAAAGGGGGAGGGAAAAGAGTGTGAGACAGAGGGGTGGGGGATGCACGTCCCGGGAATGGGATGGGGACGGGCAGCGGAGGAGCTGCTGGGGAGCTGCGTGCCCAGACGGGGAATATCGGATGGATATCAGCAGCTCCAGCTCTTCTGAAAGATTCATCTGGGAATATCGGTCAGATATCAGCAACTTCCCATTCTCCTGAAAGATTAATCTGGGAATATCGATCAGATATCAGCAGTTCCCATTCTTCTGAATGATTAATCTGGGAATATCAATCAGATATCAGCACTTCCCATTCTTCTGAAAGATTGATCTGGGAATATGAGTCAGATAGCAGCAGCTTCCCAATTCCCAGAAGAATTGTTCTGGGAATATCAATCAGAAATCAGCAGTTCTCCAATTCCCAGAAGGATTAATCTGGGAATATGAGTCAGATATCAGCAGCTTCCCAATTCCCAGAAGAATTAATCTGGGAAAATCAATCAGATACCAGCAGCTTCTCAATTCCCAGAAGGCTTAATCTGGGAATATCAATCAGATATCAACAGTTTCCCATTCTTCTGAAAGATTATTCTGGGAATATCAATCAGATATCAGAAACTTCTAAATTCCTCTGAAGGATTAATCTGGGAATATCAATCAAACATCAGCAGTTCCCCATTCCTCTGAAGGATTAATTTTGGGTCATGTTTGGGCGCCATCACATTTTGAAGACTCCTTGATTTTATTTTCGGCACATTTTGGGCATAACCATATTTTAGGCACTCCTTGACCTTATTTTGGCACTTTGGGGCACATTTGGACACCCCTTAACCTCGTTTTGGGCACCACCACATTTTGGGCACTGCCACATTTTGGGCACCCCTTGACTTTATTTTGGGCACCTTTGGGCACCCCTTTGACCTTGTTTTGGCACTTTGGGGCACATTTGGGCACCCCTTAACCTTATTTTGGGCACCACCATATTTTGGGCACCCCTTCACCTTGTTTTGACACTTTGGGGTACGTTTGGACACCTCTTAACCTCATTTTCGGCACCTTTGGGGCCCCATCACGTTTTGGGCACCCCTTAACCTCATTTTGGGCACCACCACATTTTGGGCACCCTTTGACCTTGTTTTGGCATTTTGGGGCACATTTGGGCACCTTTTAACCTCGTGTTGGGCACCACCACATTTTGGGCACCTTTTGACCTTACTTTGAACACCCCTCGCCCTTGGCTCTGAATTTCGGGCTGAATTTTCCCGCAGGGAAGGCCCAAAGGAGGAGGGGCCGAGCCGCGCCCACCTTTGAGGATGGTGATGTCGATGGTGGGCCGGATTTTGGGCACGGAATATTGGGGATCTCCGCTCATCCTGGCGGATCTTTGGGTCACCACGGGCCGCTCCGAGGCGCCGCAGCACCGCACGCACGCCAGGCGCCGCCGGGGCAGCTCCGGCTGGGATCCGGCGTTCCCGACGGAAAACACGAGCAGGAGGATCAAGGTGCTCATCCTCAGGAGCAGCTGGAGAGGAGAAGGAACACAAACCATTAAGGGGGGAGAATCCCAATCGAGGCCACCTGGCCAGTGCTTTCCTTGGGGTTAATGATTAACGGATCTTGGAATTGGCACCGGGAGACTCCGGGTGGGAACGGTGCCCTCGGAGCGCTGCGAAAGGCAATTCCTGGCTGGCATTACCTGTGACAGCTGCCAAGAGACAGCAGGTCAACAAAAGAACGGGGAGGAAAAAAAAATAAAAAATTTAAAAAAAAAAAAAATCCCAAGCCAAACAAAACCTGCTGGGAGCAGAAGCTCCGCTGGGAAAAGCTCTTGGAACAAAGCCGGTAGGAAATTTCTGGGGAAAAGATAAAAGAGGAATTTTCTCTGGTCACTGATTTGTTCCTAAGGAAAGATTGGAGCTGATTCTGGGAGAAATCCAGGGAGAAAATTCCTCTTTTTTTCTCCATCTGAGGCATTTTTTTCCCTGGATTTCTCCCAGATTCAGGTCGATCCTCCCCTAGGAACAGGTCAGAGAAAATTCCTCTTCTTTTCACCTGTTCCAAGGGAGGGTTTGGAGAGTGAGAAATCGAGGGAAAAAATGCCTCACATGGGGAAAAAAGAGAAATTTTCACTGACCTGTTCCTAAGGAAAGATTGGAGCTGATACTGGGAGAAATCCAGGGAAAAAATGCTTCAGATGGGGAAAAAAAGTGGAATTTTCTCTGGCTCCTCACTGACCTGCTCCCAGGGAAGGATTTGGGCTGGAAATTGGCCACTCATTCCCATTCCCATGTGTAATTAGTGTCATTCCACTGATTGCAGTGGAGCCTCATCCAGGACAGATTTCTTGGATCGATGCCTCCGTGGATCTTCTCCAAAGTCCAGTTAGTGAGATGGACTCAGGCTGACCCCAGGCTGGGAATGGCTCCTCTCCCACCAGCTGGAATTCCTGGAATAGCTTGGGAAGGGGGTGCTGGATGGCCTGGACTTCATTGGAAATCCAGGATTCGTGGATTTCATGGATTTCATTCCATGGAAACACCCAGAGGGAGGGAAGGAGGGAGATCTTCCAGCCTTGGAGCTGCTTCCCTAGGAATAAAACGATCCAGGGGAGGGGAAAAGGAGGAAAAACCTGTCAGGAGTGGGACTGGAGCAGCATTCCTGGGAAATGTGTTCACCCCATTCTTCCCTGCTCCAAAAGAATTGTCAATCACATCATTCCAGTTTCCTGGAAATCCAAGAAATCCTTAGTAGCAGGAAAATAACGACTTTCTCTCTGAGAGCAGGGAATATTCTTTCCTGAAATCCATCCGAACTGGAAATCCCTTTGGATTTGTAGCTGTGCCTCATCCCAGTAGCAGCTGGAGGAGGGATCAATCCTCCTTTTCCATCAGCATTCACGCCTTGAATTCCATGTAATTAAATCCTTTTTAATTTCCATTAATTTTTAAAGCCATCTTGGAGTTTCCAAGCGGGAATGGAAACACGGGAAGATTAAATGGGCAGAAAATCCTAAAAACCAACCCAGGATGGACCTGATGGTCTTGGAGGGCTTTTCCAACCTCAGGAATTCCAGGATTCCCTGAGTCAGGCTCTGAATTCCTGCTGATATTTTCTTTCCTGTTATTCCTAGGGCTTCACTTGATAAAAAAATAAATCCATAACTATCCTTGCTTTAAATTCATGGACAACACCAGGCACTGCCCCGTTTAATTCGGGACAAACCTCGATTCAAACCCCACAGTTCAACCCAAAACCTCGATGGAAAACTCATGGATGTGCCAGCCCCGGAGCACAGCACCATTCCAGACATGGAAAATATTCCAGTTGTGCCTTTTTTACCTTTTTTGTCTCCTCTCCAGCCTCAAGTTCCTCACAGCTCCGGAGCTCCTTGGATCGGGAGCAGCAGGAAAGGAGGAATCCTCAGGGCTGGGATTTTCCGGACACTGCTCTTCCTCTCGGAAAGGATTTCTCCGGAATTCGTTTTATTTTCTCCCCCTGGATGATCTAAAATGTCTTAGTGGGCAGCTCCTTGTGGAAAAGCCCAAAACAGTGGAGGAGTTTGTGTGTTTTCCAAGGAAAACGCTGCTGGATTCCTGTGCTGAGCTCCGGCAGCTCCTGTCGGACAAAACATCCGGGAGATCCTCCAGGAGCTGCTCTGGGGCAGAAGTGATTTGAGAACTCCCAGGCAGGAATATTTACATGCCAAAAAGGAAGCGGGTCAGGAATTCCCACCGCCTGTCTGGTTGGAGGATGAGCGATGTCCTTGTCCTGAGTGTTTATCCAGCCCTGGGGTGATGGAGAAGAGGGGCTGGAAGTGCTGGGAGAGAGGCAGGAATGGAGGGAAAATCGGGATCCAGGCATGCAGGGATCCAGGAGTGGATTTACAGTGCCTGGGTGAATATTTGTCCGGGAATTTGCAGCTCCTTTTCCAATTATCCGGTTTATTTTTTAATTTTTCTGGTGCTTTTTTTAGCCTGGGCCTGTTTCCAGTGGAGGTGATTCCCTGAATTCCTCCATCCTGGGAAGAGGAGCCAGCCCTGAGCAGCAACCACTGGGGTGCTCACCTGCTGGGAATTCACCGGGAATTCATCGGGAATTCGCCAGGAATTCGCCAGGAATTCACCAGGAATTTGCCAGGAATTCGCCAGGAATTAATTCACCAGGAATTCACCAGGAATTCACCAGGAATTCACCAGGAATACACCAGGAATTCACCGGGAATGGGAAGAGACGAGGTTCCCAAGGAAATACCCCTGTGCACCTGGGGGATTGGATGGATTTAACACAATCCCATGGATTTAACACAATTCCATGGATTTAACACAATTCCATGGATTTAACACAATTCCATGGATTTAACACAATTCCATGGGGATGCTGCAGGAGGAGAGGCTGTGCCTGGATGGAAACATTCCCAGGCACCTGAATTCCTGCAAATTCCCATGGTTCCATCCTGCCCTAGCAGGAGAATATTCCCGATTCCCAAGGGAACAGATTTTCCCTTTTTCCTTCTCTTTATCCCAAGTTTCCACCCTGCCCTAGCAGGAAGATATTCATGATTCCCAAGGGAACAGCTTTTTCCCTTTTCTCTTTTTCCTTCTCTTTATCCCAAGGTTTCTCCCTGCCCGGGACAGGGAAGATCATCCGGATTCCCAAGGACAGGGAGCAGGAGAATATTCCCGATTCCCAAGGGAACAGCTCTTCCCTCTCCTCTGCGTGTCCTGCCCGCACCTCTGACTCCTGCAGTGTCCTGGAATTGTCCCTGCTCCAGTCTGGGCGTCTCCCTGGCGGAATTCCCGGCTCCCGAGCCAGCCCAGGCGGTGATTCAGCAGGAATTACAGTAAAAGTCATTCCCAGGGCAGCTTCTCCCGCAGGACAAACCCCTCTGATCCCTCTTTTCTCCCTTCCCGATGGAAAATCAGCTTTCCCGGGATTTGCCAGTGCTGGGAATTCAGCGCGAAGCCCTCGGGGTTGTCCCTGCAGAGCAAATCCCGGCTGGGATTTTCCCACCGGGATGCGGTGCCTGGATGCCGCTCCCATCCCAATCCCATCCCGGAGCGAGCAGCACATTCCAAAAGGTTGGAGAAGCGCAATTCCCTGAAAATTTCCACTCGTGTGGAAACCAGGGCACGGTTCCTTCCCGCCCCGTGTCCCGCAGCCACATGGGATCCATCCCCATCCCACCGGGAGCTGCATCCCGCTGGGAAAAGCTCCGGCCTGGGCTGTCCAGGATGCGTTATCCCAGGAAAATGGGACAGGGAATTTGAATTGGGATAAATTCCATCCACCCCAGCACTTCCAAAACCCCTCATTCCTCCTTTTCCCTGCTCAGCAGGGTGGGAATGCTGTTTTTCCATGATTCCTTTATTCCAATCCCTGTATCCCAATCCTTGTAACTCACCTCGTCCCTCAGAATCCCTGGATTTTCCTTCCCTTATTTCCCTATTCCTCAGCTGCCGCTGCAGTTTTTCGGGCAGGCTGCAGCTCCCGTGCTGGAATCCAAGAGAAACACGGAAAATCAGGCTGGATCCTTAGGAAATCTTGGCAAAAGGAATTTTTTTTTTTTTTCCCCCCCGATTTTCTTTGCTTGCACCAACTTGTGCCGAGCTCCTGCGCCTTTGTCCCGCTCTGTTTTCCTCGGGATTCGCTGCCAGTCTGGAATTCCACAGGGCCTCACCCAGGGATGGAAATAAAAAGTGAAAAAAAAAAGGATGAAAAAAAAACCTCCACCACAGAACCCAAAACCACATCCAGAGCTCCAGCCAAGAGGGAAAGCGCTGGGATCACATGGAAAGAATTTTTCTTTGGGACATTTCGGCATCTTTTTAAGCAGGAGAAAGGGGGGAAAAAAAAGGAAAATATGAAGTCACAATAAAATCTCTGGGATTTGTGCATGAGCTGGAAAAGCAGGAATGGCTTTGAGGGGAAGGAGGGAGGTGTGGATGGATCTTGGGAAGGAATTCTTCCCTGGGAGGGGCTGGGATGGAATTCCCAGATTTGCTGTGGAGTGTCCCAGGCCAGGCTGGATCGGCTTTGGATGCTGGAATTGTCCCGGGATCACCCTGAAGGTCCCTCCCAGCCCAAACCATTCCAGAATTCCTTGATTTTTGTGCCCACACTTTTTTACCCTCGGCCACTTCCTTGGGAAAAGCACGGTGGGGATTTATTTAAAGTCACTTTGGGCTTGGAATTTATTTTTCCCATTCCTTTTCATTTCCATTTCCATTTCCATTTCCATTTCCATTTCCATTTCCATTTCCATTTCCATTTCCATTTCCATTTCCATTTTCCATTCCTTTTCCTTTCTCATTCCTTTTTCTTTTTCTTTTTGTTCTTTTTCTCTCCTTTTCCTTTTCCTGTTCCTTTTTATTTTCCTTTTCCTTTTTTCCTTTTCCTGTTCCTTTTTATTTTCCTTTTTATTTTCCTTTTCCTTTTTTCCTTTTCCTTTTCCTTTTTTCCTTTTCCTTTTCCTGTTCCTTTTTATTTTCCTTTTTATTTTCCTTTACTTTTCCCATACTTTTTCCTTTTCCTGCTTGGATCAGCCTGGGAACACCAGGAGGGAAAGGGGGAATTTTTCCCATCCCAAGTTTAAATCTTCTCTTCCCTGGAATTTTCCTGAATTCCAGATCCCAAAAATTCCCATTCTGCCCCAATTCCCAGAGCTCCCAGAGCCCCGAGCCCCGGAGCTGTTTCCATGGAAAAATTTTTCCAAATAAAAGAAGGAAAACAACCTTTAAATCCATGGGTGGAGCTGGGATAAATAAATGAAAAAAAAAAAATCATTGGTAGATGAGTTGTGACAGGAATGGTTTGGAATTCATGGAGTTTAATGAAAGTTTAATGGGGTTATGTGATTTTTTTAAATTAAAAAAGGATTTTAAATAGAAATAAATTCGAAAATTGAAAAGAAAGAAATATTTTTTAAAGGAAAATATTTTATAAGTGAGATATTTTATTAATAAAATAGTTTTCTAAAGAAAATATTTTTATCAAGAAAAGGGTTTCATTAATAGAAATATTTTACAAAAAACCTAAAATTCAATTTTTAATTCAGAAATCTGCATCCCAACTGACAAGGAGAGGGATTATGGGATGTTGGATTAAAATAAAATATTTTTAGGAATAAAATTGTTTCATAAAGAAAGGTTTTCTAAAGAAGATATTTTTATTAATAGAAATATTTTCACTAAAAAAAATCAATAAAATTTGATTTTATTTTGAATTTTTCCTCTTCGTTGTTTTGGTGGAGAGGAAAACAGTGACTTCAGTTAAAAAAAAAAAAAAAAAGAGAATTTGAGGGTCTGAAAACCTGGAAAATTGTCCCAAACTGTCCAGGAATGATCCAAAACGGGAGCTTTGAATTTAGTCTGGATTTTATGGAAGCAGTGCTGGTGTGTCCAGAATAAACAGGATTTCTGCCTGCAGGAACGCCAGCTTGGTTTTTGGGAATAATGATCCCATTCAGGGAAGGATGTTCCTGTTTACACAGGGATTTGGATTTTGTCCATGTGGGAGAGAAAAAAAAAAAATACAAAAAAATCAGAGCACAAAAAAAAAAATAAAATAATAATAATAATAATAATAATTAAAAAAAGGAACAGAGAGTCCAAAAAAGAGGGAATTCAACAATATCCAGGTAGGAGAGAGGAGGCTGAGAAAATTGGGAGGGACCAAAAATCCAAGGATTTCCTATTTCAATTTTTGCTATTTGAAATAGCAAATATTCTGAGAGGACCAAAAATCCAAGGATTTCATATTTCATTTTTTGCAATCTGAAATTCCTGAGAAGATCAAGAATTTGAGGATTTTCTATTTCATTTTTTTGCTACTTAAAATTCCTCAGAGGATCAAGAATCTGAGGATTTCCTATTTAAATTTTTGCAATCTGAAATTCCTGAGAGGACCAAGAATTTGAGGATTTTTTTTTTTTTTCAGTTTGAAATTCCTCAGAGAACCAAAAATCCAAGGATTTTCTGTTTATTTTTTTTTTTTTAATTTGACATTCCTGAGAGAACCAAGAATCCAAAAATTTTCTATTTCATTTTTTACTACTTGAAATTCCTGACAGGACCAAAAATCCAGGAAGCCGAGTTGAGCTCCTGAAGGAGATTTTTCCCCAAACGAATTTCCCAAACCAAGCTCAGTGCAAAAAAGGGAATTTTTTTGGAGCTCCTGTTCTTTTTATTTTATTTTTTTGGGGTTTTTTTTTTTTGGGAACAGCTTGAGCTGGAAGCTCAAGGAAGATCCTTGGAAAAGGAGCTGGGAGGGCACAGCTTGTCCTGCCACGAGTCACTGCTCCAAAAAAAAAAAAAAAAAAGGGAATAAAATAGGAATTCTTGAGAGGACAGCAACGGATTTGGCCTAAAAATGAGTTGATTCAATGGAATTTTAAGGAAGTTTTTTTTTACACGGAGGGGAGGAAATTCCCAGAAAAGCTGTGGGTGCTTCATCCCTGGAATGTCCAAGGCCAGGCTGGAGCTCCCTGGGAGGTGTTGGGGTGGAAAATGGAGGAATTTCAATTCCCAACAAAAACCCCATTTATCAACATTCCAATCGGGTTTTTGCCATCATTCCCAGGAGGTTTTGGACAAAATTCCAATGAGGTTTTTACCATCATTCCCAGGGATTTTTGTCGTCATTCCCAGGGGAATTTTGCCAGAATTCCAATCAGGTTTTTACCATCATTCCCAGGGATTTTTGCCAGAATTCCGATGAGATTTTCACCGTAATGGCCGGGAGGTTTTTCCCATAATTCCAAAGAGGTTTTTGCCAGAATTCCCAGGAGATTTTTGCCATCATTCCCAGGGGGATTTTACCATAATTCCCAAGAGGTTTTGGACAAAATGCAAACAAGATTTTAACCATAATTCCCAGGAAGTTTTCACAAAAATCCCAAGAAGGTTTCAACAAAAATCCCAACAAGGTTTTAACAAAAATCCAACCAAGTTTTTACCATAATTCCAAGCAAGTTTTTGCCATAATTCCCAGGAGGTTTTGGACAAAATTTCCAGGAGATTTTGGGGAAAATTCAAATCAGGCTTTTACCATCATTCACAGGGATTTTTGCCATCATTCCCAGGAGGTTTTTTGCCATAATTCCCAAGTTTTGGAGAGAATTCCAATGAGGTTTTTACCATAAATCCCAGGAGATTTTTGCATCATTTACAGCGATTTTTGCCATCATTCCCATAAGGTTTTGGCCATATTCCCAGAAGGTTTTTGCCATCATTCCCAGGAGATTTTTTCTCATAATACCCAGGAAGTTTTGGATAAAATTCCAATGAGGTTTTCACCACCGTTCCCAGAAGGTTTTTCCCATAATTCCAATAATGTTTTTACCACAGTTCCCAACAAGTTTTTTCCATCATTCCCAGGAGGGTTTTTCCATATTTCCAATCAGGTTTTTATTATCATTCTCATGAGATTTTTGCCATCATTCCCAGGGGTTTTTGCCATAATTCTCAGGAGGTTTTTACCATAAATCCCAAGAGGTTTTTTCCATCATTCCCAGGAATTTTTTATCATAAATCCCAGCAGTTTTTTTTCCATCGTTTCCAGGATTGTCCTGCAGGTGGCCGGGCTGGGTTTGCCCTGTTTTGGGCAGAGCCATTCCCTGTGACACGGGAACAGGTGATGAAGGAGGAAAAACACAATGTGACCACTGGATTTTCCTTTGTCCAGATCCATCCTCAGGGGAAAAAGTTCCAATTTTCAACCCCTAAAGCCAGATCCAAAATAAATATTTATATTTCATATTTATTTTAATTTAATATGTAATATATATATTTAATATTTATTTAAATTTAATATTTATTCCTATAAATCCGGGAATGATTTCTATCCAACTCCTCTTCCCACATCATCCCCCCTGTGACTGAAGGCCTCTCACTAGAAATAAAAGATGTTTTTTGTGTGATGTTTATTCCTGATAAACCCATCCATAAACACCATCCTCACCCAGCCCTTTTCCCTTTGTTTGGGAAGGGAATTTGGGGGATTTTCTGCTTTCCCCAAACCTTCAGGGCAGCTCAAATCCTTTTCTGCTTTTGGCACAGTTTTTTTATCATCATTTCCCTTCCTGCTGGACCTGAGAATTGCCAGGCAGTTGCACAAAGCAGGGGCTGAAGTTGGCAGCAAAAAAAAAGAGGGAAAAAAACCCAGGAAAAATTCAAATAATTGGCACAGCTTTGGAGAGAGCTGGCACCGATCACCTCTCCCAAAAGTGGTTTCTCCAAGTTTTAAAATCATTTATTCAGCCAGGGTTTGTCTGAGCAGGTGGCAATGAAAAGTCACAGGGGGGAGAAGGAGAATCCGGCTCGGAGAGATCCCGAGGGGACAGAAAATCTGGGATGTGTGGATTTATCCTGGGAAAAATGATTTTAGTGTTGTCTGCAAGTGCTACATGAAAACTCTGCAGCTGGGCCCTGGAGATGGCCCCAAATCTGATCCCAAACCAGGCCCTAAACCTGACCCCAAACCTGACCCCAAACCAAACCCCAAAACAGGCCCTAAACCAGACCCTAAACCTGACCCTAAACCAAGCCCCAAACCTGACCCCAAACCAGGCCCTAAACCAGACCCTAAACCTGACCCTAAACCAAGCCCCAAACCTGACCCCAAACCAGGCCCTAAACCAGACCCTAAACCAGACCCCAAACCTGACCCCAAACCAGGCCCTAAACCTGACCCCAAACCAAGCCCTAAACCAGACCCTAAACCTGACCCCAAAACAGACCCAAAACCTGACCCCAAACCAGGCCCTAAACCAGACCCTAAACCTGACCCTAAACCAAGCCCCAAACCTGACCCCAAACCAGGCCCTAAACCTGACCCCAAACCAAGACTCAAACTTGATCCCAAACCAGGCCCTAAACCAGACCAAAACTGGACCCAAAACAAGACCCCAAACCTGATCCCAAACCAAGCCCTAAAGCAGGCCCTAAACCAAACCCCAAACCTGGCCCTAAACCAAAACCCCAACCAGACTCCAAACCAAACCCTAAACCAGGCCCTAAACCAAATCCCAAACCAGACCAAAACTGGACCCAAAACCGAAAACCAGACCCCAAACCAGACCCAAAACCAAACCCCAAACCAAGTCCCAAACCGGACCCAGAACCAGCATCAAATGTCCCAAATAATTCCAATTTAAAATTCCCCTCATTTCAGTCTAATTTTTATTGTAAAGTTGGCTTGGGAAGATCAGGATTGACAAGGAGCAGAAAAACTATTGGGAAAAGAGGGTTGAGTTCCCAAAAGAGTTCTTAAATTTTCTAATTATGATTTATTACTAATTAGTAAGTCTGATAGTAATTCTTTATTACTAATTAATAAGTCCAATCACTTGTTTTTATATCCTGGGAAAGAGGACTCAGGAGATGACACCACTAGAGGCCACTCTTGTATTTTCGGAAAACAATTCCGAAGGAAATTCTGCTGTTAATTCCATCGTTTATGAATTTTTTTTAAAGGAAGTGTTCGGTAGGTGCTGACCCTGGAGGTAAAAAAAAAAAAATTGATTTTATTTGTTTTTCTTCCCGAGGGAATTGAGGTGCCATGAGCTGCCCTCTTTATCTGGAAGAATCAAAATCAAAAAATTCCAAATCAAATCAAAACCAAAATTCCCCTCAAAATTCCCCAATTCTTCCCATCAATTCCTCTCCTCAAATTCCAAATTATTCCTGATTTTATCCTGGGGTGAGGGACAGGTGAATCACTTCCAGGACAGGTTGTGATCCCCATTCCCATCCTGGAAAAAGATGAAAATGCCTCCTCCATCCTGAACATATCAATTATCAATTTAATCATCAAATATCGCCTGAATATTTGGACTGGGAAGCAAAGCAGTTAAAAAAAAAAAATTAAAAATCCCTGAGGAAGAAGCAGTTTGGATATTCAGCTGGATTTTTGTGGATGTGCCACTAGAGGGGAATAAAGATCTGTAATAATTCCCAGATTTGCAGTGAAAAATCTTCTGGAATGCCTGGAGACGCCAGCCCCGTGTTGGATGTCGCTCCTTATCTACAGCAGGAAAACAATCAATTTTATTAATTGCAATTATCGCAGGCAAAGGAGAACAAATCCAAGGATTCCCAAGGCGCGTTAACCCTGACACCTGGAGCAGGTGATAAAGGAAGGAAATGTGCCCTGATAAGGACTTGGCTGATAAGGTTATCTCGAAATTTGGGATAAACGCGTGTCAAACACAGAGCGATTCATTCCAAACCATCCATCATTTCCATGGAGAGCTTCCCAAAGCCAGGAATCCTCCCCGTGCACTTTGTCTGGCAGTGGCAAAGGTTGATAACGTGATTAAGGCGTTATTAATTAGGGAGGCATCACTCATTTGCGGTGATCTGGAGGCGTTGAAGCTGCTGATCGTTAATTAGGATGCTCGGGAGGAAACACGCAGGAATGAAAAGTAGGAGGGAGTTTGGAATTCTCCCTGGAACATGAGTTCCCAGATGAAAAGGAAAGGGTCAGAAAATTACTGACTTAATTAATTTAGAGGAAAAGTGTAAATTGCCTGGAATGATAACGTTGGGAAGTTTTTATACTTCTGGAGGGGTTGGAATATGGGTAATCCCAGCAGAAACTGGGATTGGAGTGGTGTGGTGGGAAGATTTTTGGATATGGAGAGGGCAGGACACATCCCATGGAATGGATCTGGAGCTCGAGGGATCTCAGGGATTGAGGAGGAAAACTCAGGAGAATCGTTCTCCAAATCCTGCAGTCCTGGTGTCCCTCCTCCAGCTGCTTCCCAACCCTTCATCCCAATTTTTTCTCCTCTCTTTACCTCCATGGAATGTCAGGAGGGAGGGAATGGGGTGTCCTTGCTGCTTTGGCACAAATGGGAACTCCCTGTGCTTGTCTGGATATAAAAATCACGGAAAAACCCAAAGGGATGCTCCTGAAGATCCAGCAAAACGTCAACATTTTTCCCAGGATCATGGGAAATCCTTGTTCCTGGAGGCACAAGTGGAAGTTTAGTGGGAGATTTGAAGGGAGGAACAGGAATGATCAGCTGGATTTGCTGCACGAGGAACTCGGAGCTGAATTCCTCTCTCCTGGGTGGGTGATAAAGCAGAAAATCATCCCTTGGTATCCTGAGATTCCCAAAGGCTCCAGGGTGGGAGTTTGGAACCACAGCCCAAATCCCTCACGGCTCCCAACCCAAAATCTGGGAGATTCCCAGACTGCGTGAACCTGGGATCATCTCAGCCCAACGTCAGGTGCCACCTCTAAATTAAACCATCACACCCCAAAGGTCTCAATTTATTCCATTTATTGCATTTATTCCATGTATTCACAGAGAGAGTCCAGCCCTGCTCCAAATCCAGAGGGATTTGTCCCTCCCAAAGCATTTAATCTGAATTTCCAGAGCTGGAAGAACATCCAAGGGTGCACCAACACATCTCCAGATCCTGACAGAACTCCAACCCTCTGGCCACAATCATCTTTCCTGACCCTAAATCTTTTTCCCAACATTTGTACCAATAACCGCCTGAAAGCCACAACCAAAAAAAAAAAAAACCTTTGGAAGCGACATTTGCTGGAAACGATCCCTGATCTCCTGCTAAAAAGGGGTGAGCTCATTTGGGATCATCCCGATGCGTGAGGACACCACACCGGGAGCATTTTTTTTTTTTTTTTTGGGATGCTGAAAAAATCATCACGGAGTTATTCATTCAGAGAGCTGAAAAAAAAAAAAAAATAGCTGGAAATCAAACCCCCAACCCCTCGACCAGCCAAGAGTTAATGTTTATCTCGCACCAGAGGAACGGGAGAAGTTGGAGCACGGCGGCTCCGCTCAGGGTGAAGTCGAACTCCCAAACTTTCTCCTAAATTAAGCCCAGCGGGGGCGGCAGAGCCTCCTTGGGGACCACAGAGCTGTGCAGCAAATGATGGCAGCTCCACCAACTCGTGCTCATTATCGGTGTCGCTCACTCTCGTCACCTCCACAATTATTTTAGGACCTGTCACCGGCAGCGTTCTCCCACCAGCAAACGCTTCCCGCTCGCTCCTAATGGCGAGGATGAAGTTCCAAGCAAAAGTTCCCTCCTCCCTCGCTCTCGCTGCCTTTTCCCAAAGCTCCGGGAAGCTCTGGAGGGGAGGGGATGTGGGGCTGTGCACATTCCCGAATTCCCGTGGAGGGTGGGGGGGAGATGGGATGGGAAAGGCAGAGCCGGGATCTGGGAAATGAATCCCGGTCTGCGATGGTAAAAT